TGGAATTATTAATAATTTACAAGAATTATATAGTACATATTCTCCCTTAAATAATCAAACAAATTCAAAAAAAAAGTAATCATCTCGGGATTACTTTCTTAATTTGCTTAATCAAAATAATTATCAAAGAAAGATATCTAAATTCTCCGGTAGATAGTGGTGCCAATCCTTTAATTTGGTGGAAAATTCATGAAAAAGATTATCCGATATTGTCTCAAATGGCTAAGGATTATTTATCGATCCAAGCGACATCGGTTCCATCAGAAAGGGCCTTTTCAATTTCAGGCTTAATTATCTCAAAAGTTAGGAACAGGTTAAATCCTGAAACAGCAAGGGCAATTATTTGTATGAAGCATTGGATTTCGGAAAAAGGATAGTAGAAAATTTATAAAAATTGTGGAAGCATAAATAAGGCGAAATTATTTCAGGTCAAAGGCTTGATGGGAATAATGTTTCGGTAATAATAGATCGCAAAAAAAATTTTTTTGTATAATTCGACATTTTTTTTGGTTTATTTGTATTAGGGAATGTTGAGTATCGCACAATTTTTTTATAGTTTCGTCAAAGATTTTACAATAGACTGTATATATAAACTCCAAATCGGTCTACAAACCGATCCAGTTCGATTTTACCCTCAAACCGAAATCAAACCGAAACCGAACTGGTCGAACCAATCGAAATTTGCTACACAAATTTCCTTTTTTGAAATACATATAAAATCACGTGATACGTATTTGTCGCTTAGTGACAAAATATATCACATGATTCACTGGTCAATCAATAATATAATTGGTTAATTTGACATCGAAGTGGAAATATTTTCGAAGTCTTCGTTCTAAGTTCATTCCACAATTGTTCGATAGGAAAAAAAAAATATGGCAAATATATCCAATCTCGAGTAAAAATAGTAAAAATCAAAAAAATCTAGTGGACAATTTTTTTTGAAACCTTTCGGTGAAATGACATAACTGCTATGACGAAATTCAGGGTAAATCATTATTCGATAAATGTGACGCGTAATGAATTTACGTGATCTTGCATTTGGAATTTCCCTCAACTTAATTTCATAATCAAATGAACTAAAATTTGGTAATTTCTAAATTCATTATTCCCTTTGTTGAAATAATATATTTGAAAGGGTATTAATTATGATATGAATCGTGTGAAGAAATCAATATTTTTTGATAAACATTACAACCGGTGTGAAGAAAACAATATTTTTGATAAATATTACAACCGATTTCCTTTCAGAACGATCGATCGACCGATTTACCTGTAACAAAACAAGTTTACTACAAATACTAAGAAATTTGATATAAAAATCCTCCAAAAAATCATTTGTTCTAGTAATCACAATTTCCTGATCAAAATGGATAAAAACGAAGATTTTACCGCGCTACCAAAACCGAAGTCTGATTTAAACCCTGATAGAAAGAATTTTATTAACACCAAAGCTGCAACCTCGTCAAATATGAATAGTAACGATTCTCCTGTGGACCCAAGCCCTCCATTTCGGAATGAAGGCAAAAAAAGAAAAAATATATTTATTCCAAACTCCTTTGATAGTAACATTATTTCGGTGATGAATGACCGTTCAACTAGCAACCTTGAGGAACCTACTGTTCAGAATAAGGGAAAAAGTAAAATCATTACCAAAGAGCAAGACCATAACGCTCATGTTTCAAATAAACGCGTCACCAACAAGGAATCTATTAAAGAACGTTACCTTATTAAAACGGAAACTGTTCCGATTCAAACTGAGTCAAAATTTAAAAATGAACTAGAAGGAGAACAACGATGTGCTAAAAAAGTGAAATTAGCAAATGGTTTTGGAGAGGAAGAACAACTTACTAATACAACAATTGTTTCGATTCAGCCTAAGTCAAAAGGACTTAGGATGCGTGAACATGATCAGCCTCGACAAGTTGTTAAAAAGGCGAAAATAGCAAATGATCCTGGAGGTTCAGGAAACCATCACGGTTCTACATTACAGACCATTTCACAAAATAATAATAATCGATCTGATACTCAATATGACAGTATAGATTCATCATCTACTCAGAATAAGTCTTTACTCGTAGAGAGTTTCAAGAAAGGTTTTGCCATGATCAAAAATTTTATCATGTCCGAAGCTCCAGATGATAAAACTGTACGAGTCATATTTCATGTGCATTTACCTATGAATATCCGTTCTGAAAATCTTGTTATAGTTGGTAGTATAGAGGAACTTGGTAATTGGGAAGAATCTAAAGTTAAACTCATTCAATACATAAATGATTATTCAGAGTATACATCTTATTGGTATTCAGAGCCTATTCGTATCCCAATCGAAAGGTTTCAATCAAACGCTGTTGAATATAAGTATGCGGTGTTATCTTCGGACAATCGCTTACAGTTTGAAGGGGATGGACCAAATGATAATCGTGTGTTAGAAATTACACGTCAAAAATTTGATATTTGGAAATATAACTCAATCAATAGTATTAAACAAATAACTGATTATATGTTCTTGGATGTTATTTATGAATCCGTTACTTTAAAAAACATCAAGGAGATGATTCTTGATTATGATTATATCCTGAAAAAGTATCGAAAATTTACATTATCCGTAACGAATATTCAATTTATTATCAAACGTGCATCAGAAAATTCTGTTGATAAACAGCTTTTCTTATGCTTTCTTTTAGGACATTGTTCAAATACTCGCGGAAGATTAGAATTTCCAAAAAATTTTCAATCAGCTCCTTTGCTTCAAGCTTTTTTCAAGGTTCAATCAGACACATTTCCATCTGATAGTTGGCGTATTGTATTAAAAGGAATGAATCATTTGATTCATCACGATATTAAAAATGGATCCTTCGTATGGCTCAATATCTTTACCATCGCACGAATAATTGATCCTCAATATAAGTTCGTCGAAACAATAAATTTTGGTAAATGTGATGATGACAAATATATCGAAGCTTGTTTCAAATATATATTGAAACTTGAATTTGATGGAAGTACTCATACGAAAATTATCAAGGTATTTTTATTTTTATTATTATTATTATTATTTTGACAGCATTGAATTAATTAATACTATAAACAAATTATACAAATTATATTAATTATTTATATTTATTTATTAATATTATCCATTTAGTGGCTGATGAGTCAATGCAAAACCATGAAAATTTTATCAATCGTTTGGAAATCTTCAGATAAAACTGACGAGCAATATTTGGTAGAAATGTCTAAAAAAATTATATCTAAAGATGACCCCGTCGTTTTGCATAATACTTTTACCGAGCTTCCTGATGACATTAGAGACATAGTCACGAATTTATTTAGAAAGAGAGCGTTACAATTATTAGCCAATGCTCGTAATACTACCTGGAATGATTCTCAATCCAAATCGATGTTTTATCTTTTAAACTCTGTACGTCTACATTGGACAAAAGATGAATACATTGTCTTCTTGGAAACTGTGTCAACTTTAGACAATTATCAGCTATTAAGCGAGTTTCCATCATTCCTGAAACATTGGATTCAGATGAATAAAAATATTGATAATAAAATAGCACAGATATGTATTCAATGGTATAAAAATTTTATCGATCGAACGGATCACACAATAGTTCATAGAGGAGAATACGTATTCGCAGTTTTTGAGAAGTTGTCATACACTTGTTCAGTAGTTAAGGAACAATTCATCTTGGATGAATTAATGAAGATAACGTTCAATTGCATAAGACAGTCCTCAGAACAATCAATTTTTAATGTTACAAATAAAGTTGTAAAGTTTGGTTCAGAAGCAGAACGTGTATTTACACAAGTCATTTATGAAAAGATTGATTCGATGAATCTAGATTACGATGAACGATTATTAAAGAAAATGCAAGGCATTTGTGGTTATACTGGTAAAAGTTTAGAGATTCCAAATGAGTAAGTGATTAACTTAATATATATATATGTACGGGATTATTACTTTTATTAATTATATATTATATAAATTAAAACTTACATTTTTATACGTTTAGGTTTTGTGAAACAATCTTATTTCATATCATGTCATGTTTGCAAAAGAAATCTTCAAATGCTTGTTCAGAAGTTTCTTTGCTTGAATCCGCTAAATTCTGGATTATAATTTTACGAGCGACTGGCAGTACCCAAAAGTTTCATTCTCATCAACTTGTGCAAGAAACTAAAAAAACCATTTTCGATTTGGCTAATATGATAAATCATGGTTCTATTAATATTAATCATCTCCAGGACTTACTTAAACTTAATGATGACGACCTAAATTATTATCTAAATTCAGCAAATATTAGGAATAAAGTCATTACCAAGGAAACATTGGTTAAGGTTCGTCAGAATTGTCACTCCTATGAACAGAGATTGAAAATTCTAGGCAATTTTTATAAGAGATTCTGTCCGTTACAAAAAATCAAGGATGCGCAAGATTATCTTAATGAATTAGTAGAACGAAGTAACAAGTTGGGTACAATCTCACTAAAAGAGGCCTTATCGGAAGATCATTGGAATTTCCATAACGAAATTATATCAATAGCTGAGAATACACATGCGTTGAACAAGTCTCATATATTTTATAACGTTTTTGAAAAACGATTAAATGAAGAATATATTAAAAAACGTGAGTAAGGCGAAACCATAAATGTTGAATATATAGCTCTAAAGTTAATGAAAAATGTTTTAAGTAAATATATTGCTAGGTGTAAGCAATATATAAAATGGGAGGATCTCAAATACTCTGAGGAAATACCATTTTGGTGTAATGTTTCTAATTTTCACGATGAGCTTAGGTTAATGGAAACATATGGCAATATTCAAATACGTCAAAGTAGAGTATTCATGATAACGATAGAATTTCTTTCCAAGAAAAAGGATTGGGAAGAACGTATAAAAAATTTATCAAATATTATTAAGATTTTTGATGTCAAAGAGAACTGGCTTAAAGACTTAATTAATCACGAAGATTTGGGCAAATTAAGTGACTCCTTTATAACCATCGATAAATATTTTTCCACATTCAATTATAATAGTTGGGCATTTATTAAAGAATTGTCTAGGTCCAAGGAATTTATTGAATTTCTAAGTGACAAAACAGATGACGATTTGAAAAATTTGATTAATGGCGTCGATGAGCACTCAGATACGCGATTGATCCAAGAAGGCACCATTTCTTCGCTTATTCAAGTCAAGCAATTCTTACAACAATTCATGAATAATTCAAATTTAACTTTGAATACATTCTTAAAAGAATTCAATGATGTCCAAAATCCTTCGTTAGCGAGTAAATTATCGTTATGTAATAGTAATTTTATGGTTCTAAAAAATATGTATGAATCCATCTATAACAAAGGTGAAGTTACAAAGGAAAAGATTCAAAATGCCGCGAATATTGGTATATATGAATTTGTTAAAAAGAAAGATAATGAAGACTGCAATTTGACATTGACATATACTTATAGATCAGAAGTTATGAGGTACAATATTAATGAGTTACAGGATTTACGTAGCAGAGCACTTTTAATTTCAAAGCCTGGTGTTTATTTTGGACAAGATGATGATGACATCGTTAAAGGCAACATGGATGAATTTGTAAAGCAGGTTGACATTTCTCAGAGTATAATTATTACAATGAAAAAATTAACTCAATTGGGTCATTTTGGATATCGAAAGTATCATAAATCAGCTAAAGGTACTAATAATTTAGAGGAAATATCAATTAAATTGAGAAATGACTTGGAGATCTGGTGAAAAATTTTTTTATTTTTATTTTTATTTTTATTTTTTTTTTTGATGATACTAATTTATGATTTTGTAGGGAGGAGATTGTTAATCGAATACAAGAAAATTGTTATTACCTAAATTTTTATCCGGAAAGACACATATTAGCATTTTATGATTACTACACAACAAAGAGCGAGCAAGTGGAAATAACGGACACTTGTCAAACGCTCGTGTCATTTGTCAATCGAAAAGCCAAATTGTCACAACTCAAAGGTCGAGAATTAGTTAATTGTAAATATGATAAATATGATCAAGTTTTAGAAGAAATTAATGATAGATTAGAAAGCACATTTGGAACCCTTCAAAAACATGCACGAACAGTAACAAATTGGAAAGAACGCGTAATTTCAGATACGGTGGAACGTGGAGAGTTATTTATCGCAGCTTGTAATGATCAATCGAAAGTTCCTAATATAATAATGTCATTTTACGTCAACCATGGAGTTTATCCGGAGCCTTGGCAACTTTTGATATGTATGACATCAACTACCAAAGAAGAACTTTCGATTTTTATCAAACGATGCTTCTTTGCATCAAAAAATGGTTATCGAGATCATTTATTCTGCATTGCGAATTTAGAATTACTAGATTTCGAATTACAATATTATCTCGTAAATAAGATTAGGTTTTTCATGGAAAGGGTAGATGATTATTATTTGGCGTTGATATGCTGTTCCGAAACTGGCATGCATCATCATATCTTGGATCAATTTTCTAAAAATGTTCACGCTACCGATGGGATTGGCGCCGTCGCAATGAAAGCCATTTATCACGAATTATGTCAAAACGTTATGTGTGTAACATCAGCATTATCTGGACAAGGAAAAACACAATTTATTAAGCAGAAAAGTTCTGAAAATGACAAAAATTTGGTTCCTTTTCTCATTAGTGATGGAGCTAGCTATAATTCACTTATTAGACAACTTCAAAATTCTCATATTCAGCAAGTTGATAATCTGCATATTAACATAATATCTACTGATAACCCTAGAGAAGTTAATATGTTTTTGTTTCAAATATTAACTTTGGGAATTATTTCAAACAACGTATATGTTACAAGTCTTCCAGATACCAATATTTTTATTGAAATAGCTAGTGTCCGTTTGCTCGAATCCCTCCCATTCATTAATTGTTTTAAAAACACCCATTTAGTATGGGATATTAATAGCTTGAATGTGTCCGA